TAAAAATTGCAATATGAGCACCGTTAAAAAATTGTGGCTGAAGACATTAGGTTTATAATACCCAGAAATTCATACGCAGATGTCCAATATTACGAGACAGTTACACACAAACAATGCCAAAATATTAGCAAATTCAAATAGTAAAAACAGACTCATCTTTGAAGCAATAAAGGTTCGACAGAAACAACCATCTATAAATAAGAACACTTATAAGAAGCGCCATGCTCAAATATGTATAATAAAGAAATATATCACTACACACAAATCATATCTTGCCAAAGTCACTGCTCTCATTGCCTACGTCACTACACTGACTGATTCAACAAAATTCACCTTTTATCTCCCTACACTGCTTATGAGTGACGAAAATCGAAAGCTTGGAACGTATTTCTTTTGAAATGAATTTTGGACATTTTCTGACGGAATTTCCTGCTTATCTGTTATGGATTTTCCGTAATTTTGAAAAGTGGATCAATAAAATTAATCGTCACAAAATGTATGGCATCTTTAATGACATTTTCTGTCCGAGTACAGAAAATATATACATACATACATATATACATACATACATACATACATACATGCATCTGGCTTATGTCAGGTGAGGCTCTGCCGAGGGCAGAGTCTCGTCTCGGGAAACTGACTCCGTTTTTACGTGGTCTATAGGGAATTTTAGGGCTGAGCCTACGGACTCAGCTACCCCACTTTAAACTCGGCCTTGTGCCACATCTTACTGCGTGGAGCAGCTGGTAAATAATTATATATATATATATATATATATATATATATATATATATATATATATATATATATATATATTTGTGGCTATTTTTGAAAGCAACAGTTTTTCCTCTGAGATGCTTCCGAAATGTTTTGTGGATTTGAACGGGCTGATTGCAATACAATCCTCTGTTTCTATGATTTAGTGAGCAGTTTTTTTTTTTCTTCACGTACCTAAATTATCTATGTTGAAAGAGTTGGTGCATTCAAGTTTTAGTTTGAGCTATTATTTCTTTTTCATATATCCCTTTAATCAATTCAAGTCTTAGGCGATAATGCCTTTGAGACGCAAGCGGCTTTACTGCGAGTGAAGGAGAATGAGAAACCATTAAAAGGAACCGGAAACCCAATCCTAATCAAGAAACGAGGGATAACACTCTACACCTGTTCAAATGACCGGAGAGGATTGAGAACCTATTTACTCCTATTAGATATATTCTCCAAATACTACACCATCACTCTCTATGCACATTTAATCTAAAAAGTTGATTTCATATGTCCTTAATGTCCTCTGTATTAATTGGCGGGAATAAATAATTTTAACGTTGCTATTTTTTACGGTAGAATGTTGTATTCTTTTGGACCTTTCTTATCTTCTATATAATTGTACCCAGATTCAGTTTCAGCTTAACTGTCCACCCATTTTATTTAAGTCCCTCGTACACTCAAAGACCTTCACTAATAGTCAATTGCTTGTTTATGTCAGCGTTTGTCTCCGCTTCTAAATATAAGTTTTCATTTGTAACTCAGTACACCTGTAATTGGATCGGATTCCTTACAATACAAACAAGACGAACCGAGCTACCCAGGCTTTCTGTACATAAGCATTTGTTGACACATAGCAAAACCTATGTCTACGTCAATATTCCTTTCATTTTGAAAAGATTTCATTTTTCAAAACTGGAAATATTGGTAACGACCTCATCTTAGTAAACTTAATCTTTCTTTCATTTTTTTGTTTTTTGTTGTTACTGCTATTTACCGTTTATAAATTCTGTTCTTTCAATAAGAGTACTTATTCAAACTACTGCGCAACTTCCGTGCTAATGATTACATATATAATGACACAGCTTGTACTTATGGTAGAAAAATAGGCTAACGATCAAAACTGAACTTAACGCTGACAGAATTTGAAAATGCTATAAAATTGCATGTACGGGCACCCCAAAAGTGACTGACATCGACGAGGCAAATTCAAACCCCAATTTAATCATTTGTGTTCACTTTCGAACGCCTCAGAATGACAAATCGGTGAGCTTTGTTTGAATTCCAATCTGGTTCGTTATATTCATTTACGCGCAAATACACTTGGGAATGTCATGAATCAATCAAGCTCTCTCCCCAGCTATGGATTCAATAACAGGACAAACTGGATCATGTAGCCTTGGTCGGCAACAAGTGTACCACAGAAAGTAACGGCAAACTACTGCGCGAAAGTATTCTACCCAGTCAGTGATGAATCTAAAAAGAAATGGTTGCCTAAGCGTGTATTACGTAGGGCATATAACTGACAGATAAAATAACAAAGGAGAAAGGATCCTCTTCTCTTCGGAAGCATTTAGTCTAATAAAAGAAGAGTTCTAAATTTTTATTCATGGATAAGGAAAGAGGAACCTACTACACTATCTTTCCTATAAAAAATTGGCATTTCACTGAGTGATGAAGAATAATGAAGACGCGGGATGTTATGATTTTCTACTGTCTCATGATATTTAAAAATGGCAAACAAATTATCTGCGTCGCTTTAAGTATGTCTTTTCATTTGATGAATTAAACTACAATTTAACTACATCCGCGTCATTGTTAAGACGATAAACTACGTCCGACAGCAAGGCCTCTGATCAGGAAGTTTTGAGGAGCGTGGTACTCTTAATTGCTGATGCTCACAGGTCCACCCTGACCCAGGGTGGTAGCACCTGTTAGGGTCCCAGCTATGGGCAAATAGCTAACCCCCTAAACTGTGTTCAAAACACTATGAAAGTGTAAAAATAGTTTTTAATAGCAGAAATACTTTTTTTTGTAAAGATTATTACCAGAAATAAATTATTACCAGCAATACATTTTGGAAAAAATATTACCAGCAATGCATTATATAGGATTTTTGTAAATTGTAGTATTTTATTAAGAAATGTGGTATTTTAACAATATAATTGCTTACGATGAAAGTACCTATAGAATAGAAACAGGGAAGCTACATTATGATATTGTGAATCTGTCTGAAGGCGAGATGCCTGGTCAGAACCAATAACAGTGCAGATTTTTCTTTGGATTTTATCAAGAATCTCTAAATATATAGCAAGATCACCAAACCAGATGAGGCAGCGTTATTCGAAACAAGGACAAATGGAAGACATATATATGTAAGATAGATTCAGGCGAGAAAAATCGTCTAGCACACCATAGAGAAACGACTTTCTTAGTAGCAGACCTAGCAATTGATTTTATATAATCTTTCCACTTCATGTCAGCGGCAAACGCTACTCCAAAAAGATGCAATGAATCACTCTCCTGGAGGTTACCATCAGTCATGCTAATGGAAGGTAAAAAGGGTTCACTCTAAAACTGAGCAGATAATAGCAGAAAAGTGACCCAGGTAATAGAAAAAAGTAGATATTTATTTTTTAGATCACCTGCAAATTGGACCTTATCGTAATGCACACACTTAGTATTAAAACAGAAACAAATGGTTGCGTCTTCTGCGTAGATAGAGAGTTGGGAAATGATTTTATCAGGAGGGTCGTTGGGGAAATTAGGAAAAACATCCCGTGGGACGCCTACTTTAATACAAAAAAAGTTCTAGCAGAATGGACATTCGAGATAATTTCCATTTCACGATTTGATAAGAAAGACTGAATCAGTTCAACAACTCGTCTGGAAATATGATAATCATTGAACCTGTGATGGAGATCAAAATGCGAATTCCTGTCAAATGGGTCCGAGATATCCAACGCAACAACCCGAGTTTAACTATTCTTATTTAAAGCTGGACTAAATTTTTCACTGTTAGCACATCAAGCAGAAGCAGAAGCTATATTGCTTATCTAAAACATGACCCTGCGAGGTGTGATGCTATCCAATTCAGAATTAATTTTATCAGCTAGAAAATTTCCAAAAAGTTGTAGAAGGCGATGTTGCTTAAAGGTTCTTCTTCATTTGTGAGGGCATTGTCTAGCATTTTTGCCATATACTCTCTTATCTTTTTTTTCTATATTCCCGTGAGCAAGTGTGCTACATTCCGCTAGACCTGTATATGAATATGGAAGTTTCAATGCAGGATTCTTGCTTGTTAGAATAAATTAGTAAATTCCGCCCAACACTCGATTTAAGCTTTTGGCAAATATTTATGTGTTTATACATCACGGCATGTACTTTTGTTTCTTTGTGAATTTCTGAGATGAAAAGATAAAATTGAAAAAAACAATGAACATTTAATGTACCTACATGGAGGCTATTATCGTCATTTTTTTGTTGATATCACGCCATTTTGACAGCTGAACCATCCGGCCTTCATCAGGTGAGTGCCTATCTATGTAAGCTACATAGCATTCCTCATTGAACCCTGGACTACGGCGATAGACTATTCTTGTTGCATTGGCAATTTCTAGGGATATATTGTTTAGTACGTATTGTTGTTACTCGTCTGTTATTGCTCGCCCTGTTTTCAGAGAATCTAAGTAGACACTACCCATTCTAGGGATTGAACTCTGAATTGCTATATCACCAAATTCACTTTAATCCACTAGGCTATTCTCACATGGCGAACTTGGAGACTTAAGACTAACCTGATTGCTGTTAACAGATACTGCTGCTACTAGTCATGAATGACTGCCCGCACCGAAGCATTATCATTTTGCTACAACTGCCGCAGTTGGATGCATGTTATCATTTGTCTGTCTTTTTTTATTAGCCGCTTCATTTTTTTATTTCTATGCTAGACCTACTATGTATGTCCTCTTAGCCTGGCAAACGCCGAAAAGTTGTGATAGCAACAAGTAAGATGAGGACAATTGTTCGCATGTAAATGGCGTACATAATCTATATTAGTCTTCTTTTTTTTAAGAGGTTTGTCCAGTCTCTCAGCTCCATGTCTCACTTCTCTTGAAATTCCTCGTCTCCAGTAATTTCTATGGTTCCATTACATTTTCATAAGACACATAAAACTATTTGATATAAGCCAAATGTTCTCTACTCAATTAAGACTTACAGATTATCACCACATCGCGTTGAAACACCGGTTTTCGTACGATCACCAAAGTAAAGCAACGTCAAGCTTGGTCATTACCTAAGTGGGTGACCGCTAGGGAATACTAGGTATTGTAAATTTAGCTGTGCAAATGGTGTAATAAATAATTGCTCAGAATTTTTAATCGGAGAGCTGAGTCCCAATTCTCGTTATATTCAATTACACAAAAATTAACTTGGCGAAAATGTATGGATCCACCTCTTCCGCCCCGCCGACTATGGGTTAATTACTAAGACTTCTATCACTAAAGATGATTATCTCAGGGAATTCTTACTATCTAAAAATATTTTCTGGCTTTAAAGCACTGTGAAGAAAAATATGAAGAAAGAGGACCGAAAAACCGGTTCAGCGGTCTTTTTTAAGGTGTGTTGCATTTTATTATGATCACTTTATGGTAGTAACATATTTGTTATCCGATTTTTTCACTTTGATAAGATTCCATGCTGTTCATCGCTATCACTCACTCATACTCTCTCTCTCTCTCTCTCTCTCTCTCTATATATATATATATATATATATATATATATATATCAGGAAATACATTTGTTTGATGCTTTGAGAGGCAGTTATGTTTTAGTCATGAATAACA